TTTTCCTTCATTACAAGCACTCATGGTCCTCTTCCTGGCATTCCAGCCCCGGGAAGCCGGGAATGGATCGGGGGCGGGGACGCGGGCGGCACAGGGGGACAGTTCCCCCCGCCTTCCCCCTCTCCCCGGGACTCACTTCCCCTTCCTAGTTGCTGCCTTCCCAGGTCCGGGGGATCCACTTGGGCTAAAGTCCATCCCCCGGGAGAGCCTCTTCGGCAGCGAGGCCAGAAGTTCAAGACTCCACATCCCTGAGACCCACCCCCCCCCCCCACCACCACCCACCAGGGGCCCCACTACCTGACGCGACTTGAGAAAAGCTGCCCCCCTTACCTCCAGGCCCCTCACCTCAGGAACACCCCGACCCAGACGCCTCACCTTTGTCTTCCCAAGTCTAAGGACACTTCCTTCTCGCAAAACCCAGATGGCTCCCTTGATTCTTGGGGTGGAGGTTTAAGTGCAAAGAGCACTCAGGCCTGTCCCCCCCTTTCCTTTAAGCCCTCGCCCTCCCACGTTACCTGCTAGTCCTGGCAGGTGGCATAGGAAGGCCTTGCCCAAAAGTCGGGGTGAAAAGAGGTCCTTTTCAGCTTCTTTCTGGGATCTGTTCTGGAGTGAAGACCCTGGGGGCAGCACGGTGGCAAGGGAGAGAGACGGAGGCCTAGGGACTTACTGGTAGGAACTGGGGACCCTGGCATCCTGCTTCCTGGACCCGCCCCATCTCCCCCTCCACACACACACACACACACACACACACACACACACACACACACCTCCTCTTACCCTTCATTGAAATAGGGCACAATAACAAAGGCTTGAGTTCCTGGAATCTTCCTTTTTACACCTGGTGGTAGAAGAAAGGGGAGGGGAGAGCCCTGGCTGGGAGGGTGTGTGTGTGTTCTGTAAATGTTGTGTGTGTGTACACACACACACATAATATAGACATACTTCTACATACTTCGGTGGGGGTTGAAGAGGAGGAATGAATACATGAGGACCTCTAGTGGAAACAGAGGGGTGTAAGCAGTTCTTGATTGTTTTAAGACAATCAAGACAGGCTTGTTGGAAGAGACTCCTCCATTTTTTAAAAAAAATATATATTTTATTGATTTTTTACAGAGAGGAAGGGAAAGGGATAGAGAGTTAGAAACATTGATGAGAGAGGAACATCGACCAGCTGCCTCCTGCACACCTCCTACTGGGGGTGTGCCCGCAACCAAGGTACATGCCCTTGACCGGAATCGAACCCCGGACCCTTCAGTCCGCAGGCCGACGCTCTATCCACTGAGCCAAACCGGTCAGGGCGACTCCTCCATTTTTATCAGAAATATAGCTGCTGAGTAATGGGTTTGGGAGTATTGTTGCATCTGAACTGGAGATCTGAGGTAGAGGTTAGAGAGTGTCTGTCTCTCTGCTCCTGTGTCCCCACCAATCTTAAAAAGACCCGGGCCCTGCCACTCCTCATCTTTCATCTCCCCTTCCTATATGACCTTTTTAGTCATAAGGAATCATAAGTGCTTTTAAAGGCCTATTTTGCGCCCTGACTGGTTTGGCTCAGTGGATAGAGTGTCGGCCTTTGGACTGAAGGGTCCCAGGTTCAATTCTGGTCAAGGGCATGTGCCTTGGTTGTGGGCACATCCCCAGTAGGGAGTGTGCAGGAAGCAGCTGAATCAATGTTTCTCTCTCATGGATGTTTCTAACTCTCTATCCCTCTCCTCCCTTCCTCTCTGTAAAAAATCAATAAAATATATATTTTTTTAAAAAGGCCTATTTTGCACCAGGGCTTGTACTTAGTTCTGCAAGACAGCCAAATACAGAGCCTAGTTTAGGGGTACACCATAGAGTGGCTTGGTGTGTGCGAGTGTGTGTCTGTGTCAAGTGCCTGCCCCTCGAACCCACCCTAAACAAGCATACGGTATCAGCTGAGAACAAGTCCCCTAGAGCCTCTTCCAATCAGTTTTCTGTCCTTGAACCTCTCATCTAGAAATACTGGAATGCCCCTAGCTGGTTTGGCTCAGTGGGTAGAGCATCAGCCTGCGGACTGAAGGGTCCCGGGTTTGATTCCCATCAAGGGCACATGCCCGGGTTTCAGGCTCGATCCCCAGTAAGGGGTGTGCAGGAGGCAGCTGATCAACCGATCAATGATTCTCTCTCAGCATTGATGTTTCTATCTCTCCCTCTCCCTTCTTCTCTGAAATCAATAAAAATACATTTTTTTAAACAGTAGAAATACTGGAATGATACTACTCCTTAAAGCACTCAGCTTTCCTTGCAAATAACACTCCCAGGGATACGTCTTCTGTATGACCTGAGTTCCTCATTCCCTCCTCCTCATCAGTTCTGTCCCTACATGAGGTTAGAGAGTCCCCTTTGACGACATTATTGGAGACGTCCACGTGCAGCAGGAGGCGATTTCTCTCGTGAGGAATGAGATGGCATCAGCCTGGGCGCCTTTGTGTCTCCTCTGGGAACGGTGTCACGCCCCAAGTCGGTTACTGGTGGGGGTATGATGCAGAAAGGCCAAGTAACATCTCAGGAGGAAGCGTCTGATGACTGCAGCTCCAGGTGCTCATTTCTTTAATCAACCACATCATAAAAATCAGAAAGAAAGAAACCGCAGTGAACAAAGGGAAAGGAAAAAACAGCCTTGTTCTCCTCAGCCTCTTCTTTCCCCTCTTCCTCCTCAGGGTGGGGGGCCACATCCGGGGCCGGGGCAGGTCTGCGAGGCAGACACTAAGTTTCACTTCCTGTCAACCTCAGAGCTGAGGCAGGATGTCGGGGGGCACCGGGGGGCCCAGGGCTGGGTCGTCAACGGGGGCCATCCAGGATTCCCTCTTGCAGAAGGTTCCACAGAGCAGCTGGCGGCGAGCACCTGCACGCCTCAGGTGGTGCAGCCGAGGCCAGTGCACCCCCTAGTTTTTAGGGGCCTTCACACTCTCTCCTCCAAGTAGTAACAAGACTGAGGACAGGACGCCAGGTCGGGCACCGGCAGCACAGGTGGTGAAAGAGCAGGGTTGACAATGGCCGTGTGACAACACTCGCAGGGACTGTGCATGGGACGCAAATAAGTTTTTCTAGTCTTTTTGAGACCTTCTGAGTTGGGCTTCTGCTGAGAGGCAGAGAGGTGGAGGGCAGGCAGGCAAGCTGTTACCCCCAAAACGTTTGAAGCTTCATTTCAAAGCCTTCGGTTGTTCCTAGTTAGCCATTGCTCTCATTTTTTTTGCGGTTTTTTTTTTTTTAAGTGGGGCAGGGAACTTGGTGATGGAGGTGGTCACTAACATTCGCCTCCTCCCTCCCCGGTTTCAGCGCTGCTGTGGGAAATGAACGTGAGCCCGGGTAGGGATTTGGAAAAAGGTACAACAGGGTTGAGGAGGAAAACACAGCACGGGGTTGGGGGAGGGCGGCAGTGACACCGGAGGAGAGGAGCCTGCAGCAGGCCCCTCCCAGGCTGCAGGGGAAACGAGTTTAGCAGGATTTCGCCCTGACGGGGCAGAGCTGCTGAAAAGAACCGGGGAGGGAGAACCTTGGGGTCCCGTAGAGACGAGGAAGGTGCGGGGCAGGGCGGGGCTGCAGAAGGTGTGGCCGCGCGGGCCCGCACTCCTGGCGGGTGGCCCGCTCGCCATCCCCGCCGCCCAGAGACCGGGAGGAGGCTCATTAGAATATGAGCGGGCCCCGCCCCGTGGCTGCACCCCGCCCTCTGACCCCGGGCCCCCCCGAGCCGGCGGCCGGGGTCGAAGGTCAGAGCAAATCCGTCACTTCGCCAGCCGGATCCGCGGGGCCGCCGCAGGCAGGGCAGAGCCCGGGGACCGGCCGCAGCGCCCTCCGCCTCGCCTGGCGGGTCTCTGTCCGGCGGGTTGAGCCGGGCGGCCGAGAGCAATCGGCGCGCGATTTCGACTGCCCATTTTCTAAGGATTAGGGGTCTTCCATTCGCCCCCAGCAACACTAGTGCGCCCGCCCCGGTGCATTCCCGAAGTTTGCCCGACCGGCTCCCTGTCCCCAAGCCGTTTTGGGACTTGGGCGCAGACCAGGGCCTGAGTATTCTTTTCTTCATTTATCAGCCTCCCCCCCCCCCCCTTTTCGGATGCAGGTGGGCCTTGCCCCCTTTTCCCTCGCGGGTCCTGTACGGACTAAGAGGGCCTGTGAGGAGAGGGCTGTGCCTCAGCATTCTTTCGGCGCCCAGCGGACTGCTTTCCACGCAGCAGGCGCTCGATAATGGTATCAGTGACAGTAAAAGAGCCCATTGTTTTCATTTTACTAACGTCTTCAGCTTCTACTCCCTTCCTCCTCCTCCTCCATCTTCGTCCATGAAATTGTGTACGCTCCCTTTAAGACTAAAATGGTGGCAGGCTACGATCGGGACTCCACTTCCGGTGGGGAGGGGGCGGGACCCCAGCCCGCTCACGCCGGAAGTGGTTTGCGCTCTCAAGATGGCGACTCCCTATGTAACTGACGAGACCGGCGGTGAGTGCGGGAGGCGCGGAGCCGTTTCTCTCCGGGCTCTCGGGGTAGGGGTTCGGACTTGGAAAAGGGTCTGTGCCCCGCCCATCCCGGGGCCCCTCCTTTGCCCCGCCCTTCGGACCGCCTTCCCCATTCATTCCTACGGGGTGCCACCTGCGCCCCCTTCTGGTCTCGAGTTTAGGGGTCTCTGCTTCCGGTCATCCAAACCTTGGGGTCCTTCAATGCTGGCCCCTACTCCAGGGCCCTCACGGGCCTTTAAGGTTTTCTCTAGCAGTCGAAGCTCCGGTCTCTCTCTTTTGGGTTCTCCAGCCTTGGGGGTTCCAACACTTAGTTCCCTCCAATTCCTACCTTCCCTTCCTTCCCCTCCCCCATCTTCTAGCTGTACCTGCTTTCTGCCCTACCCCAACCACATTTAAATTCTTTTTCTGGAAGCTGTGTCTGTAGATCTTCTCATTGCTCTATAGCGCTTTTCCCACTTTCTCCCTCATCTTTATTGTTGGTCCAGAGGTGTGAAGGGATGAGGATCCTAATAGAACTTTCAGCATGAGTTTTCTCCTCGGTGGCCCCACCCTCCTCTGCCTTCTCTGTTGATAGTGATAGGAGGTGAGGGATCTAAGGTGGAAGAAGGCAAACCAGGAACGCGTCTAGTGGTCTCTCAAGCCCTCTGACAAGTTGATGGAACCCAGTTATTCCTTCTGGCTGGAGAATTCCCAGTCTTGCTGATTGAAATGCTGAAGTGTCTGCTGCATATGTGAGCTTTATGTGTTGAAACCTGAAAATCAAGATTTTCATTGTGGTTTTGTCCCATCCTAATTTCCTCATCGTTAGAAAAATGTGCATAGGAATATCTAGTCATTGACAATCAAATAAGATAGTATATGTGAAAGCAATTTATAACATGCTGTGCAAGGCAAGGTGTTACTGTTTTCTCTTTTGTGAAGCCTTCACTGTGTATGTAGAGTCTTCTGTAGAAGTGATGCTGTGCCTGTGCTGTGGTACATACGGTCTGTTTTAAAATTTGCCATGTATGCTTCTTGCTTTGCTACTTTTCATGTCCTCTATATCCCAACCCACCTCTCCTATGATATCTAATGACAACCCTGGTCTCTGCTACCTCTCCCTAACCTCACATTGTAAAGTGGTGGGTACAACCTTTCCTGCTCTCTACTCAGTAGGTCCTTCTTCAACTAGCTTCTTTTAATGTGTGCTTTGAAAATATTACTCAACTTCCAATTTCCAGTACACTTCTTTATTCTTAACTGTTTTTTGTTATTGTTGTTACTGTTTTTTATTGACTTGGGGGAGAGAGAGGGACAGAGAAACATTGATGTGAGAGAGAAACATCAATCGGCTGCCTTCCTCACCCACCCTGACTGGGATTGAGCCCACAACCTGGGCATGTGCCCTGACCCGGAATCAAACTAGCGACCTCTTGGTGCGTGGGAGGATGCCCAACCAACTGAGCCACACCTGCCAGGGCTTACCTGTTTTCTTAAACTGATTTAATGAAAATCCAGATATTGCATCTCACCCTACCTTCCTACCAAGGATTATTTTCTGATCTCTGTGACCATGTGGAAGAGGAGAAGGAATCACATTGCTTTTTTGCTTTCTCTTACTACTTCCAGACCATTGATCTACCACTGTCACACTAATACTCATGGAATGCCAGAAGCCGGTCCACCCTTGCTGCTTGACACAGTCGCTGCAGGGAAGAAACATCTGCACAGCTTATGTTTCAAGGGACCTGGCATATATGGCATATGTTTGCTCCCCCCCTCTTAGCACTATGTGTTTTAAATAGGACCACCTCCCCGAGAAAGGTTGTTTCCCCAGGTGAGGATTTTTCCCTGGAGTTAGGGATTAACAGGACTAACAGGATTAAGGAAGGGAATAAAACTCCTTAACTAAGTGCCAGGCGGGTAATTAATCACTTTAACTACGAACAATCACGCTTAAGCTACATAATCTTTACTGAGGATAATCTCCTTCAGTTACTTCCTTGTAGCTTAACAGAACAATAGAGTAGTGACCTTGGAATGGAGATAACAAACGCCCTAACCTTTGGAATAGAATGGATAGGATTAAAATCAACTGGTATAAATACAGATGTAATAGGAGAATAAAGAACAGAACCTGGCTGGAGACCCTGACTAGAGAACCTGGCTAGGCTGCTGATCAACTGAACGCTGTCTCGTGTCATTCCTTCTTTGCCCAATCCGTTCACACCTTTGGGAACCCCTGGACCTGCTGGGGCTGGACCCCAACACTCATACCCCCAGTCTTGCCCTCACTCTCACCCCCTGTTGTCTGTGTCCATTGCTTATGCTTATATGCATGTATACAAGTCCTTTGGTTGATTTCTCCCCCTTACCCCCACCCTCCGTACCTTCCCTCTGAGGTTTGAGCATCTGATCGATGCTTCTCTGTCTCTATATCTGTTTTTGTACATCAGTTTATGTTGTTTGTTATAATCCACAAATGAATGAGATCATGTGATATATATCTTTCTCTGACTGACTAATTTCACTTAGCATAATGCTCTCCAGATCCATCCATGCTGTTGCAAATGGTAGGAGTTCCTTCCTTTTTACTGCAGCATAGTATTCCATTGTGTAGATGTGCAAAAGTTTTTTAATCCACTCATCTGCTGATGGGCACTTAGGCTGATTCCAAATCTTAGCTATTGTAAATTGTGCTGCTATGAACATAGGGGTGCATATATCCTTTCTGATTGGTGTTTCTAGTTTCTTGGGATATATTCCTAGGAGTGGGATCACTAGGTCAAATGGGAAGTTCCATTTTTAGTTTTTTGAGGAAACTCCATACTGTTCTCTCACAGGTGGCTGCACC